AGTCCCTGAGGTTTGAATCTGCCACCTCCTCTTCTTGAAGATTAAACTCAAACTTCTGGCAGCCTTGTGGTCAGGCTTCAGGAGAACCACTCTTCCACTTGTGTTCCTACTGCCTGCAGTTCCTCAGTGCTGCTGACAGGAGGAACACAGCAGAATGATGCTGAAGGCAGTTTAAGATGAACACACATGCACAGAGCTGCATGTCCCAGTTGTGGTGCTGAATACAGAACATGACACAGCTCTATTGTCAGCGATGGTTCATTCCTGCTGATGGCAGGCCTGACACAAAGCCCTGGTCCATTCAAAGCAGATGTGAAAGAGTGCACGGCTCGGTCACTAAAGGTGAAGTGGGAGGCAAACTTGCACTCATCAGTAGCTGCGTTTCCATTGACCATGAAAATGCGCCAATTAGAATTTCGAAAATAAATTTGCTCAATAGGAACACGTCATTTTCGGAAAAAAATTACGTTTTTCGACAAAATGGTTTTGCTCTAGGATGAGGTGTTTTTTCGGCCGTATCGAAATTGCTGTTTTTCGCAAAACTGCGATGGAAACACTTTTTTCACATCACAGGAGTCACGTGATCAACAACCGTCTGTTTCTACTGGTGAAAAAGACGATGATGAAGAAGATAACAGGAAGTAAAATTGTAGTAATATCACAGAAGTAGTATAAAATAGTAAACTCACCGACTACAATTTCCCAAAAACACAGCATACGTAGCCGCTCCCAAGTAGGGACTTGTCTCTGGAAAGCCTCGATAAAAGACGCCGACGTCTCCTCTGATGATGAGCGCTAGTGTCGTGGTAGCAACATGCTATGTGTTTACATCCATCGCTGCCATGTTTGTAATGACTTATCATGAGAACAAACGCATTCACGTGTGACTTTAATAGCATTTCTTATTTAATGGAAACACCGCAGTTGCGAAACGGTTTCTTTTTTTTGACATTAACAGAATATCGACAAAGTTTTGCGTACTTTTGCAATGGAAACGCAGCTAGTATGTCTGAATCATGCCACTTTGATGTGACTGATGCTGGGACTAATGCATTACAACTGAGCTTCTACAGCCACTTTATTTCCTTTTTCTTTTTTGTGTCACTTCAGTAGAAAACGAAACCAAATATTATTAGTTTATTTATTTCTTCATTATCAGTAACTTTTTTTAATTTCCTTTTCTGTCTATTTATCTCTGTAGTGAAACAAGGGTGTCCAAACATTTTATCACATGGGCCAAAATCATGAAGTCAGAAGGACCTGAGGGCCAAAAATATTTTTCCTTTACCTGCTCAACAATAAACTAAGCATTGAGTACTTTAATTAAATAAATAAAGTAGTCAGATTTATTGCTGGAAATGGATGTAAATTAATCTAAATCCAGAAGTTTAAAAGTGTTTTGCAGGATTCCTTTATTGAAAGAAATTTAGCAATTTTCTAGGTTTTAATTGGGGAATAAAGAACCCAATTTAGTCAATTCCGATCAATAAAATCAGGATTTGCTTTCTGTATTCAGACAAATTTAATAAGTTAATTAAAAGCGAATTGGGGTGCAGCAAAATCAGCTTTTGAGTAGAAGAGATGTGGAAAAAGCTAAGAGCCTGGTTATTTAAAGGGATCCTCGATTAGTTGTAATATTAGACTTTATTTGATAAACATATATTTTAACTGTAAAATAAAGACTGTAAAAATACTGTAGGTTGTTTTAGTTTTTATAATTTTTAAACTTTTAGTTTAAAAATATATTACACAGATGGGGCCATTTTATTTACATGCAAAGCATTCTGGGTAAATGGTGACGTGGCTAGGTCAACGGTGCGAGGCTCTTTTAAATGAAACCAGAGAGCGTTGACAGAGAGGAGAAGGTAGAAATGACTCAGCCTGGAACTGAAAATATGGATGGAGGACAACAGAGCTGCTTCATGGAAGAACAACCTCAGCTTAGCCTGTTAGCTTTAGCATTAGCCCCAATGCTATCACCATATATAGGTATTAACTCAGAGCTACACATTCTCCTCTCGTCACTGAGGTCTTCCATCCGCATGACAGACGGGAACAGAAAAATGACTCGGTCTGTAACTGAAAATATGGATGGAGGACCTCAGTTTAGCTTGTTTGTTGCGCTAGCTCCCAGCTAATACATATAGGCAAATAAAAAGAAAAGAAAAAGGACTTAACTTTAAAAATCTTTGCATTTCATGAATAATTTTATTGTATTTAGCCCACAGCCCTCTGATAGATTTTCATTTTGGCCCTGTCGAGGAAAAAGTTTGGGCACCCCTGTTTTAGAGGAATCATTTTCTGTTTTTTGTTGTTATTTTTCACAGGAGGAGGAGGAAATTTAAATAGGACCATTAGATGAGCAAATATTTTATGAGCATTAGACATAAACACACTGAAAGCCCTAAACTGGATTGTATTACAGCAGCTTTTTGCAAACATGCTTGCCTGAATAAAGGGAAATGTCCTTTGAATTGATCAGCCTGTATCATTCTCCAGACACCATTTTGTTGAATATTTTCACATTTTGAGGGTTTATGTTTAGAACTGTCTGTGTGTTGCAGGACGTTCCTACAGTGTTTTCTCTCAGCGCATGTTGAATCAGTGTCTGGAGTCTCTGGTGCAGAAAATCCAGAGTGGTGTCGTGATAAACTTTGAGAAGACTGGGCCGGACCCGCCTCCTCTGGAGGGTAAGAAATCAGTTTTTGTAGAACTTCTAAATGCCAGCTGAAGAGACTGTTTTGATATGCATGAATCTGGTGGAAAAGCTGTGTCAAACACCTCTTTGTGTTGTTGAACAGACGCTCCAGCTGAGGCGCTGAAGTCTGGACCCCAGCCTTGGCATTGTTGTCACAAACTGATCTACGTGCGACCCAACCCTAAAACCGGGGTCCCCATCGGGCACTGGCCCATCCCTGAGGCCTTTTGGCCTGACCAGAACTCTCCAACACTCGTACGAAACTTGTATAAAACATAGACACAGATGTTTTTCTCCTGGATAAAATCTGATCAGGTTTGGCAGTTACAGTGATGGTTTCTCCACTCTTTGTCCATGCAGCCCCCCCGCTCAGCCCACCCACACATCCGTTTCTCCTGTGTGGACGCTGAGCCCATGGTGATAGACAAAGTGCCCTTCGACAAGTACGAGCTGGAGCCTTCGCCGCTCACACAGTACATTCTGGAGAGGAAATCCCCTCACACCTGCTGGCAGGTATGTCACAAATGCACAGCAGAGTATATTTTTATATTTGTTTTGTTTTAATAAACCTTAAATAAGTCAAAATATGGCCTTTTAAAGAGGGATTATAAACAACGTATGGTCAAACAACAGCAGTGGTTCCCAGAGTTTTCAGCTTCTGACTCAGAATAACATCAAAGACCTTTGACTTTAACTAGCTGCGTTTCCACTGACCATGAAAATGCGCAAATTAGAATTTTGAAAATAAATTTGCTCAAAGGAAACATGTCAGTTTAGAAAAAAATTAAGTTTTTCAACAAAATGTTTTTGCGTTAGGATGAGGTGGTTTTTCGGCCGTATCGAAATTGGTGTTTTTCACAAAACTGCAATGGAAACACTTTTTTCGCATCACGTGATCAACAACCGGCTGTTTCTACTGGTGAAAAAGACGATGATGAAGAAGATAACAGGAAGTAGAAGTAGTAGTAA